TGCAATAAATATTCTCTGCCTGTTTTAATGAAACCAGCAATTCAACATACTTATGTTATTTTCAGTTCTCATCTAATTTATTCCCATCTTTCTTGCTATCTGCATGCTTTCATGTCAATCACAGGGAATCAAGTATATTAATTAAAATAACCAGGCCAGCAACAAGGTGACATTTGGGTAATTGGATAATCTTAGTTCTACTGCTGTCTACAGAGGATTTCTGCTTGTAGGGAGCCAATTATGAGGAGCAATGCAGATGTATGTGTGAGAAATGCATTCTGAGATATTAGTCATTATAAACAGGTCGAACAAAATCAAGTATCACTAAATTCACATGCATATGCATACAACTAAAAACATACCAACATTCAAAAGAAATACTATTCATACCCTGCTAAGAAAGTTTAACAAAATCAATTAAAAACTAGAGAGCAAGAGTTTTGATACAATTTTTGTCAGACGGTTTTTGTCATTTCCTGTTGCGTTCTCATTTTTCCAAAATATCTTAATTAGCTTTCTTACTGGCCCACACTCAGAATAGCCATAATATTGGAAGTCTAACCAGACTGATAGCTTTTTTTGAAGGAAACATGAAAAGACAAAAAAAAAATTAAACTCCAAGTTAGCAGTTCCTTGTGGACACAGGGTGGAAATTATTCCCCCAGACGCATCTGATCACATCGGGTCAGAATGCAGCTACCATAAATAAAGCACTGTAAAAAAAAACCTGGTGGCAGTGGAAAGTTCAGGGGTCCAGACATTAGAAAAGAGGCGAGGCAAGAAAACGAAAGACACTTGACTTCCCCTCTGTTTCACAGAATGTCTAAATCACTACTTCCACCCTCTAATTACAGAGCGAAAGAATTAGTGATTCATGTAATGAGTGCAAAGGGAGATAAATGAAGGCAGGAGTTCAAGTGTGTGTTTGTGTGGGGCAGAGAAAGAAACAGTAAAACGTTAAGTTATCATGTATGCAAAACCCCCATTCAGTATCTCAAATTAGCATAAATCATGTCACAATCATGTCAGAATACTAGTATTTGTAATTTATCAACCATGATTATATGCAATTTATATATATTGAAATTTATATATGGTTATATGTTTTGAATTTAACTAAAATTCGTAATAGTGTGACGAGTTGTAATTCAAATTTGAAATTAAGGAAGTAGAAAGGACATCCATGCAATAACTAATTTTTAACTAAGGGTCTTATAGAATGAATATAGGCCTTACAAGCATAGTCATACTGTATCTGTTAGAAATGTCACCTACAGAATTTTGCACTATACATATTTATATTTCACACATTTATGGGCAAGACTGGAAGAACACATTTCCCAGAAAGCACTGCCTGGTGAATTTCTCTGAATTGTAAAATTCAACTTCCTGAAGTGTGGCCAATCCAAATCCACCCGACTTCAACATATGTGCTGCAATTACATTCACAGAGCATACATGAATTGCGGACCATAATGAAATAATCTGTTATAGTGTGGATGCTAATACAGTTATTATTATCGTTGTTGTTTTTTGTACGAACAGGGTTAAAATCATTTGTCACTGTGTTTGTTTAAATACGTGATTTACTCTGAGTATATGCTCAATGCTTTCATTTTTTATTTTTGTAAAACATTTCCTATATAGTACTGCTTTAATGTTGAATGTGCAATAAATATTCTCTGCCTGTTTTAATGAAACCAGCAATACTTATGCTGTTATTTTCAGATCTCATCTCATTTATTCTCATCTTTCTTGCTATCTGCATGCTTTCATGTCAATCACAGGAAATCAAGTATATTAATTAAAATAACCAGGCCAGCAACAAGGTGACATTTGGGTAATTGGAGAATCTTAGTTCTACTGCTGTCTACAGAGGATTTCCGCTTGCAGCGAGCCAATTATGAGGACTGAGGAGTAATGCAGATGTATGTGTGAGAAATGCATTCTGAGATATTAGTCATTATAAACAGGTCGAACAAAATCAAGTTTCACTAAATAAAGTGGTTATTGTTTAGCCTTGAGGCTCCAGGTCCATAGTGTGTGTGTACACATGTGCTGCTTACTATATACCTCTCAGCCCAACAGCTGGACTACATCAACTCAAAGCACTCTCTTTCAGTTCCTTCTCTTTTTTTTTGTGGGGCCACTAGAGTCCCCTTACATCCTCATTTTAAAAATTCAATTCATCTCCCACCTGTGTGATAGGGAGATTCTATTTCACACTTTCAGCTACAAGCCTCAATCACAAAAAGCCAAACTGTTATCTCTGCTCTTAAATAAAATGACATCCCTTCTTTTCTGTTGCTCCCTCTCTGGTTGTCCTCTAGTGGCTTTCATCTTTGTAAACAGATAGCTGTTTTTCTTTGAAATAGTGAGAGAAAAGAAGGATGATGAAAAGACTAAAAGTGAAAAAGCTTTTACCTAAAATTGGCCTTTTCACACCTCCACAACAAACCTCAGTAGGTCCAAATTTCTTTATGCCTGTTCAACTACTGCATGTCAAGGACCCCATTTACCTCATTAGCATTTATTTATTTGAGATTGGATCAGCGCTAAATACAGGTGCAAACAGGGAATCAAACATTTTGTGACTGGATTTTAGCCGTTGACACATTGATTTCTGTGACCGTTCTCTTAACATCAGCTTATATTTATTTATATAGCACATTTGTTTTAGAAGAAGAGTGTATAAAAAGTAATTAATAAAAAGATAAAGAGTAAAATAATAAAAATACCAAATATCAATTAACATGCCTACACACAAATAGCCAATAGCACTATCGACCTACGCACACAGAGACAATTAAAAGCAAGGTTAAATAGATAAGTTTTCAACTGAGACCTAAAAACCTCTATAGATGGAGCCTGCTATAGAGTGGAATACAGAGTGGAAGACTGTTCCACAATTTAGGAGCAACTACTGTAAAAGCTCCTGTTGTAGTCATATCACCTTTGTAGGTGCTGTTGTCATCCTAAACTTAATCCCAACCCTAACTCCTACCGTCACAGCATTCAATGTAACACCAGCCCTAAAAACTTGCTGGTCTGAAACGAAGATGGGGGATGGAAAAATGATGACTGTCTAGAAATGTAATAACACTGGACTATTGCTCTGTATGTCTAAATACATACAACTGTGCATGAAAGAGTGATCTGGTGTGCAAGATTGCAAGTGAATTAGCAGTTTCAGTTTATCTCTCCAGTAAGAACAAAAGAAAGTACTGGCAGTTAATAAAAAGTACTGCCGGTACACTAGAATCACTCCCGGTACTGTGAAAAGCAAAAAATACGTGCCACACTTAAAGCACTCTGTCAAAATCACACTTGCCCTCTTTATTCTTTCCTGCTCTCTAGTAACCTCTACACTCTCAGAATTTTTTTTTACAAAAGTTGTCTTTGGGGCAGTACCCTTTCAAAAGCCACACCTTTGTGGTACACCTTTGTGCCAAAAGAGTGCATAAGTACCTCAAAGGTGCATATTGGTACCAAATGTGTACATACTAGTACCTAAATGGTACATATTAGAACCTTTTTAAAGGGTACCTTCCCAGTGACAGCATTTGTACTTTTTACCTGAGAGTGTATATTTTAATCGTACCTACAACAATCATGCATTTTAATTATTAAAGTTACTTTTTTGGGAAGCTGCATTCAAAATCCACTTGCCTCACAAACCTGAGAGGCATTTGCACATCAGTTTGAATAGGTAAAGTATGACCTTTCTGTTATAACACTTTTCCTTCCATCTTGTTACAAACATAGATGTGGAGGCAGTGAGCTCAGATTCTGCATCCTCCTTTTGCAGGTACTCATCTAATACCCTGTCAAATCTGGTTTGATTTAGGCTGTACCTATTTTAATATATGGACATTCTTCAACTTTGCACACTTTGATGTTCCAGACAGTTTTTGTTTTTTAATTAAAATTTTTTTTTGTGAAGGTCACATTCAAACTGTCTGGCATTTTAAGCATTCCTTCCTCATCATGATTTTCAAATGCCTTTATGTAGCCATTTTATTGTTTTAACTAGACTATGAAAATCCATTACAAAGGGTGAAAAATAAACCATTTAAATATATAATGTGTGAAAACAATTTTTATTAAAAATACTTTGTGTGATCATAATGTCAAAATATGCAAACATTGTGAAAATATTATTTTATTGTGTGTATGTAGGAGTCAGACACATAAAATTATAGCCATAAAATTACGCTTAGCATGATAAATGAGTCGGTCATTCTATTCCAAAATGTTTTAAATTGTCATTAATCACAAAACATCTGTTTTGGAAGTGACACTGCAGTGGAAATGTTCATGACTGATACAAATAAAATCATTTTTCTGTCATGTATGTATATACACAATTGGAAGTTGTTAGTAAGCAAATAAACTAGTGAGAGTGTGAATCAAGTGTTTATTTTCTAAAGGTCTACAGGACCAAAATGTCCATATTTGCAGTCAGAAACACCCATATACTGTATGTGTGTATTAATCTACTGTATACAGTTAGGTGAGCTCTGGCAGCTGCCTGTCACCTTTGATTTTCTGAACTTCATCTGATGGCTGTGACAGCATCTCTGTGTGAAAGAAGCTCCCTAGAAATCTTTGGAAAAGGTTGCAGGCTGTATTTAGTAGCAAGGCATGCTGAGCACACTCATGTGTAGCTGCGAGATTCTGCTCTGAAAGTCTGAAAGTTAGAGAAGCTTGACAGTGAGGTATATTTCCCTCAAAGCTTTCCTCTGGAACAATAAAGCACAACCATCTACATATCTATAGGCCGAGGAGATGAGCTGCTAACTAAAACAGCAAGTTATTGTCAACAAGCCATGAAGGTAAATATTTACGCATATACACTGTAAATCCCTTGGGATTACATTAGAAATTATTCATGTTTATATTTGGCATTCTAAATATGTATCCAGATGGGCTGAATATAAAATCATACTATTGCATTACATGACTGCCAAACTCTCATATTGTAAAATAACATGACATACCTGTAACACAGCACTCTGGTCGAAGTTGTAGGCACTGGGTCGTCCTTCCAATGTGGAGAAGGCAACATTTCCGCCGGTAAGTGGAGAGATGTCACTAAACTCATCCGTGCAGAGTGCCGTCCTTTCCTTCTCGCCTGGACGTATGAAGCCCTTATTGTGCCTCTCGTACGTCTTGCGACAAGAAGCACTGTAATATTGGTATGGCTGCCATGGTCCATTCTCCTCCGTACGCTTGTAGATGGCGAAGCTCTCTGGTCGGCTGGTGTAGAACTTCAAACGGACATATGTTATCTCAAAGGCCTTGCCTTGGAAAAACAACAACAACATTAATGTCATGTTAATCTGGACAGATCCCACAAAATGCAGTACCTTCCTTAGTTAATGTAGCCTGATAATTAAAGCCCAGGACATAATTAAAGTGACCTGTAAACTGAGTTAATGTAAGATTTGCATCTACACTGAATTTTTTTTTAACATCTAAATTAACTGGTTTTATCCATATTCAAATAGTTATTTAATGCAACAAAATGTATTTGAAAATAATAAGGTAGAAATAGCTCTTTAGGTGATATTTGAAGTTTACCACTTGTACGTCCTTAATCTACATCGAGCCAAATCAAGAATGCGCAGGTGTTAGATCAAGCCAAAAGAAAATCAAGGATGAAAAAGGAAAAAAGGATGAGGACACTTTATCCAATTTAGAGTGGAAGGCAGCTTTCTTGTGTCTGTAGAGAACACGTGGAGTTTGTGCCTTGAGAAAATGGCATACTTGGTGGTACTTTGTCAGTTTAATTGCTACTCAAATCTAATTGTCCAAATGAACTGGAGAGTTCTTTAACCCTGGGCTGCTCCAGAGGGACTGTTCCTGCAGCCAGTGCACTGGAAGAGATAACTGACTGATAATATTAACACATAGCTATTTAATAGCCTCTATGCACGATCGCTTCCGTGTTTTGTCTCAGCCCGCCCAGTTACATCCGGTGCTGCGTCGCAAGCCGTTTTTGCATTAGGTGGAGATAATGGCAAATTACACTCGCTGTTTACAAGAACTTCCAGCGGTTAACGTGAATGATGTTAACAATATTGTGAGGCAGTTAGCTGTCACACATAAGAGTAAAAAAGAGAAGGGCATTAAATTACATATTTCGAGCTAGATCGACAACTTGAGTAATCTCTCATATCATGCGAAATCCGACTAGCGAATCAGTTTCTAAAATTGTTGTGTCGTTTCTAAGAAAATGAATTTTATTAAAGTTTGGCCGCTAGTACACTTCGCTATAGAACGCGCTATGCGGAGGTAAAGACATTGGCTGAGATTCTACCGGAAATACGTCAGCAGCGTTCGTGCATAGAGCCTATTTAAACATTTTTAAATCTAGTCAGATTATTGTTGTTCTGCGGTGTTTTGAGGTTTGCTACCATCTCTGTAAAACTAATATATTACCAGTGTTGCTGCCAAAAGATCACTGAGTCGTCATCCACTAATAATTCCCACAGCTGGCAAATGCCTGTATGAGGTCTATATAAGCAATAATCACATGACCGTACTGATACAGACGAACAACTTGATTGCAGTGTGATATTGTCCACAACAATTCAATAAACATGAATTTAATATTAAGTAACTTATGTTTCAGGCACAATACTACCAGTTATTTTCTCCTTTTTTTGCCCCGCCAGTGAAAATGTGTCCAGATAAAGTCAATGCAGTCTCAACATTTGTGCATCTTTGAGCACAGTGGTGTCTGAATCAGTATTTTTGAACAAATCAGTTGATTGAATGATTAAAGGATTCACTCATAAAGACATCCATCCAAAATAGCATACTTCCCCACTATAGTAGTCGAAAAATAGTGTAGGGATGCAGATGGTTTCATTAGTCTGTTTCTGATGCATGCTTTTATCTTGAATAAAATAAATTTATTGTCCATACGTTCAGAATAATTTCGGATAAGGCAAATCCATTTATTGTCCATTTGGCATTGCAAACAACAAATAAAACGAAAATAAACACTAAACCAAAATATCTGATTCAAAACATACTGTTGGGCATGAGCACAGTCTTGCACAATCCAACGCTCAACACGGCACGGTCAAAAAGTTTGTTGACCTTCCATCAGCGCACCTTCCAATGGCCCCAACAAATAGTATGTGCCAAGATAGTAGCTGTGTCCCAATGTGAAGGCTGCATCCGCCGAAGGCCGTATTTGAAGGCCGATTGCGTCACAGCGGTGCGACGAAGGACGTCCCAATTCAAAGGCTGCACCCTCCGAAGGTCGCATTTGAAGGCCTATTGCGTCACCGCGGCGCGATGAAGGCTGTCCCAATTCAGTTCTGCATCCTCCGAAGCCCGTATTCGAAGGCCGGTTGCCTCACCGCGGCACGACGAAGGCTACCCTGATTCAAAAGCGACGCCAAATGCACCCTTCGTTTCCCCGTGAAAGAGGATACATAAATGGATCCTAAGCGGCCTATCCTACCCCATAAGTCATTGCGCTGGTGACGACAGTATTTTTATTTTAAAAAAAGGGCGGCCGAGAGTTCGGTGGTGGACGGCAAGTTCACATTTAAATGTAAGTATTATATTTTCATTTACTCAAATAGCTAGAGAAACCAGAGTTAAAAGCCACAAGTTTTTCTTTCTTATTCATCTTAACTCATTCGTCACCATTGCGTGGCTTCATTTGTCATGTGGTTTGAGGCAAAACTTGTGCTAATATTAGTTTAATAATTGTTTCAGGGAACAAGGAGCAGACAGCTCAATTTATTCAATTGCGGTCTGAAAATGACCAACGTAAGACAACGACCTATTTGTAATATTTGCACTTGTCTGTCTCACTTGTGTAGCCTATTATAAAAAAATATATAAATGGCAATGGGGTTTCACTTTTATGTGTTTTTGTAGTGCTGTCATGCAGGGTTCAAGGTTTTAACCAAATTTGAGTATCCAGAAATATGATTTCTCTCAAGTATTTTGTATTCATATCCTGATGTGTTATATTTTGTAATGTTAAGGTTGCACTAATGTTAAGATTGCACTCCTGGCTTAATATTTTTCATAAGTGGTTCCCTTTTGTTTTGTTTTAGGATAATTCTGGAGAAAATGGACCTGCTGGGGAAGGTGAACTTTAGATTCACCATGCCGGTGAATCTAAAGTTGCAACCAGAACTTACGGTTTTCTGTACAAAGCTGAAACAATGGCTGAAATCTATACAGCGATGTGAACATTGAGGTTATTTTTATTTTTTTTAGATTAGTTACGTTATTTTTATGAAGTTGATGTGTTTAGGTATGTCAATATGTCATTGTTGATTTGTTTGGGTACAACATGTGCACACATGTTTGTCTGACTTGTAATGCTGCCCGAATCATGCACTGTTCCTTCGTTGGCCAGAGGAGAACTGGCCCCCCGACTGAGCCTGGTTTCTCCCAAGGTTTTTTTCTCCATTCTGTCACCTGATGGAGTTTTGGTTCCTTGCCACTGTTGCCTTGGCTTTTGGCTTGCTTAGTTGGGGACATTTAATATTCAATAATATTATTGATCTGCCTTACTTAAGGTGGACGTTGACGCAATTTCTTTTAGAAACAAACTTTGTTATATTGTTTTCATGTTATCACTGTGAAGCGCTTTGATACAATCTGTATTGTAAAAAGCGCTATATAAATAAAGGTGACTTGACTTGACATGTATACATGTGTGTATTTGTATTTGTTTTGTTTCTTGTGATGATTGTTTGTTTGTTTTTTTGTTTTGTTTTTTGGATGTTTTGATTTTATGTAAAAGCCTAACCAGGGACGCGGGCCGCAAACTAGCTTTATGCTATATGCCCTGTGTACACAGCATCGGTTGTCTATGCGTAACAATGCTTAGTGTATTGTCCCTGTTAAAAAAAAAAAAAAAAAAGAAAAAAGGTGACTCCCATGCAGGACAAAATATATATAAAGTAAGAAAGTTTGACAGATCTTTGTTTAAATGTATTGTCTCGTTGTTGTTGTTGTTAACAGGCATGCTTTATTTGCTCTGCCTTATGACTGCAAGTGTCCTGGGACAGGTGAGGGTGTGTGAGTGGGAAACCCACTGCTGAAACTTGGCCCTGGTTTGTCCTCATGGATGAGGTGTTGGGACAGAGGCACTCCACCAACCGCCCTGTCCTCATTGCCTCCATCCCTGAGGAGACACCAGGGCCGAGTTCAGCAGTGTGCGACCAAGAAGAGGACGAGCCAGCATCAGCACCAGCATCAGCACCAGCAGGAGCATCAGCACCAGCACCAGCACCAGCATCAGCACCAAAGAAGGCGAGACAGAGAGGACGAGTTTTTGGACTTGATTAGAGAAGACATGGGACTGCAGAGGCGAGGAGAGTAGGAAGAGGATGGACAGGCTGTTTTCTCTTCTTGAAAGAATGATTGAGAATTAATTTATTTACATTATATATATATACACTCACCTAAAGGATTATTAGGACTGGTTTGTTTCATTAGTTATTATCATGTATTGACGGGGACTTGATATGTTGAGTCTTTTTGATATGTTGAGTTTATTTTTTATTTTCATCCTTTTGTGGAGGGGGCAGGAAATATAAGATATTCTTCATCCTGCCTCCTTTTCATCATGGTTTTATAAGTTACATAAATGAGAATGATGAAGTAAGTTAATGGAAATATCCATGAATGAAATAAAATATAATCAAATCAAATCAAATCAATTAGGAACACCTGTTCAATTTCTCATTAATGCAATTAACTAATCAACCAATCACATGGCAGTTGCTTCAATGCATTTAGGGGTGTGGTCCTGGTCAAGACAATCTCCTGAACTCCAAACTGAATGTCAGAATGGGAAAGAAAGGTGATTTAAGCTATTTTGAGCGTGGCATGGTTGTTGGTGCCAGACGGGCCAGTCTGAGTATTTCACAATCTGCTCAGTTACTGGGATTTTCACGCACAACCATTTCTAGGGTTTACAAAGAATGGTGTGAAAAGGGAAAAACATCCAGTATGCGGCAGTCCTGTGGGCGAAAATGCCTTGTTGATGCCAGAGGTCAGAGGAGAATCGGCCGACTGATTCAAGCTGATAGAAGAGCAACTTTGACTGAAATAACCACTCGTTACAACCGAGGTATGCAGCAAAGCATTTGTGAAGCCACAACACGCACATTGAGGCAGATGGGCTACAACAGCAGAAGACCCCACCGGGTACCACTCATCTCCACTACAAATAGGAAAAAGAGGCTACAATTTGCAAGAGCCCACCAAAATTGGACAGTTGAAGACTGGAAAAATGTTGCCTGGTCTAATGAGTCTCGATTTCTGTTGAGACATTCAGATGGTAGAG